ACCCCCCCCTGGGTCTGATGCCCCCCCTCCTGCCCCCCCAGGGGTCTGCATGAGCCCAGCAGTGGCCCCAAGGCAGTTCCAGCCATTCTTTGAGGCTATGTGGGTCTCCAGGGACCTGATGTGCGTCTCCAACTGCAGCCGGTGGCACCCGCAGCACTTCGTCTGCAGCCCCCACGGCTACTGCTACATCCACCCTGAGGGGCCCACCTGCTAGTGAGCTGCGGGACCCAGGCGTCTGGCCCCTTTACCCCAACCACTTCTCCCCCATTCCCCTCCCAGGGGACCCAGACATCCAGGCCTGAGTCCCCCCTGCTCTCACCCCCCCAGCTCCACAGTGCCTAGGGAACCCAGGTGTCCGGATCCCCAGCCCCCACTGCCCTAACCCATAGTCCCCTCCCAGGGGACACAGGCATCTTCCCCCCACCAACTGTGCCCCCTTCTCCCTACAGCTGCGAGCACTCAGACTGGTTCTGGTTTACGGGCAGCCACTGTGACCAGGGGGTCAGCAAGGTGGGGGTGGCCGTGGGGGTGGCCCTGGGCCTCCTTGTCCTCCTGCTCCTCCTGCTGCTCCTGCTGTTTTGCCTCTGCTGCTGCCCACCCCGGGGCCGCCAGGAGAAGCGCAGGTACCAGGGCCTGAGGGTTGGGAGTGAGGGGCACCGGCAAAGCTCGGGGGGCAGGGGCTGCAGGTTGGGTGTGAGGGGCAACACCGGTTTACAGAGGGGCTGTGGGTCGGGAGTGAGGGGTGCCGTTGGGCTGGTGGGGAGAGAACCCAGGTGTCCTGGGCCCTGACTTGCCCCTGTTGCCCCCTGTAGCCTCAGCAAGGCCCGGATGGAGGAGGAAGAGGACAAAGAGGAAGGCCTTGGGAAGAAGGGTGCGTGGTCGCCGCAGCACACTGAGGATGAGGAGGAAGAAGGCCGTGGGAAAAAGGGCTCCTGGTGGCCACAGCACAATGAGGAGGAGGAGGATGACAGCAGCCACGGGAGGAAGGGCACGTGGTGGCCACAGCACGAGTGGGAGTGGAACGCCGGGCGCCGCGGCTTCTATTCCCCTAACCCTGAGGCCTCCAGCCCCCCCGGTAACTGCCCCCACCCCAGCAACCCCAGGGGCAACTGTGGGGGCCAGTTCCAAGCTGGTCTGTGCCCACAATGGACTGCAGCAGGGAACACTGAGGCAGGAGAGAAGGAAGGGGTGGGGCGGGAGCCAGGGGTGGGATGCTGGGGCACATGCCCCTGGTTTGAGTTGGAGGCTCAGTATCACCTCCCCCACAGGGTCTCTGGTGGGATCCGGGAGCAGCCCCAGCACTGATTCCTATGTTGATGGCTTCCGCCCTGCGCTGAACAAGGTGGATCCCTCTGCGCAGGTAGGTGGGGGTGCAGGTTGTGGGTCAGGAGTGAGGGGCACTGGCAGGGCTGGGGGGGTGCTGTGGGTTGGGAGTGAGGGGCACTGGTGGAGTTGGGGGGGCAGCACTCACCCCCTTTCTCCCTGCTCTTTCAGACCAGCATTGCCCGGCCCCACATGACCAAGATGTGACCCCTCCCACCCCACTCCAGAGTCTCTTGAGTGGAGGGGGCCCTAGACGCCCACAACGGCAGCAGGACCCTCCCCACCATGGCATGGGGGAAGCAGAGATGATGTCAGGACTGTAGGGGGCACCATGCAGGCTCTGGAGACACCCCCTTTTCACCAGGACTGGGGGGGCTGGATCCTGCTGCTCTCTCCACCCCCTTCCCCATAGTCACTGGCTTCTTGGGACTTTGTGTGTGTGTGTGTGTGTGTGTGTGTGTGTGTGCGCGCGCGCGCGCGTGCATAACAGCATGTTTCCCACTGGTTGGGAGTGAGGGGCACTAGTAGGGGGCTGCAGGTCAGGAGTGAGGGGCACCAGCAGGGCTGGCGGGGCAGGGGGCTGCAGGTTGGGAATGAGAGGCACTGGCAGGGTGGGGCCTGTTTGCCCAGCTGCGGGGAGGGTGTGGGGGGGCTGGCTTTTGCCCCAGTTCCTGCTAGGGCCTGTTTGAGTTTCGCCCTGTCCCTGGGTAAACAGGGGTGTGGAGGCTTTCAATGAACCCAGGCGTCTGGGCGAGGCTGGATGGTGTGGGGCCAGCCTTGGTTCTTGCTGCCCTTGGGGTGGGGGTGGGGTGGAATCTGCCCTGCCCCCAGCAGCCTGCACCTCTCCCGTTTTCCCCCTGCGGGGGGCTGTTTTGGGGTGAATTTGGGGGCTTTTGGGGCTCATTGAGCAATAAAGAACATCTGTGCCATCAGTGCTGGGCCTGGGGCTCGTCCTTGCTGGGGGTGGGCAGCACCATGTTCACATGTGTGTGTCAGTGCTACATGCCTGCCCTGGCGGCCTCCATGTTCCATCCCAGAGTCCTTTGCAAATGACCCCTTCCTGTCCTGGCTCCGGGGGCAGGGGGCAGGTGGCGGGGATTGTGGGATATGAGAGTCCTCCCCTGCCCCATGCTGAGGTCCCCAGGCTTTCCCAGGTGCTGGGAATAACCTGGGCTCTGCCCTGCCCAGCCCCACCCTGAGGGCACTGGTTGCGGCTGGCTCTGGGGAGTGCCTGGGCCAGGAACGACCACATGCAACAGCCCCGTGGCCATGAGTGACATCAGCTCCTGCGGCCCGTGCCAGCTGGCCCCTCCCAGCCTGCATATCTACCTACCTACCTACCCACCTACCCATACATCTATCTATCTATCTATCTGTCCAACCCTACACACACCTATTTCTCTCCCTCTCCATCCCAGCCGGGCGAGGTGGGTGTATGTGCCCTGAGTCTGTCCTGGGGCCAGGCTGGGCGGTGACACCTGCTGCTGTCTTCCATGACCTCATGTACCCATTGAGGAAGGGGCCGCACCCTGCTCTCCCCCCAGCCCCAAGGGCAAAGGCTGGACCTGGGCCTGTGCCAGGGCTCCGGGCTCATCTCCCATGTACCGCTGCGTCCCCGCCCAGCTGGGACGGACAGACAGACCAGGGCAGATGGGGCCCAGGGCCTGGAGGCCAGCCCAGTGCGGGGCCCCCCTCATCCTCATCCTTTTGGCTGTGTTGGCCGGTGAGTGCGGCTCCCTTCCCCCTTGCTAGAGCCCATACCCCCTTGTTAGTGCTCAGACCCACTCATTAGACTCCGTACCCCTCGTTAGTGCCCAGATCCTCTTTTTAGATTCTACTCCCCCTCGTTAGAGCCTTGATCCTGTTGTTAGGATCTGTTCCCCTTTATTAGGCTCCAGACCTCCTCATTAGACTTCAGGCTTCTGTAGGTTAGGCACTGGACCCCCTCATTAGGCTCTAGGCACCCGGCTTTTGCTATCCCCCTTTGCTGGGCTATGGAGCAACTGTGCGTGGCCCTGGGGTGATACAGGGCACAGGGCAGCAGTGAGGGCTCATGGGGGATCCCATGGGGGAGAGACCCCATGTCTGGCCATGGGAAGGTCCCCCAAAACCCACAGAGCAATGGAGTTGGCAATGGAAATTGTCCTGGTGACTGCTGCCCAGCACCCAGGTACTTCTCTGATCCTAAAGGATGTGCCATAATTACCTCATATATAACACCTCCAGAGAAAACCAGCTGGGGGGAGCTTGGGGCGGATCCCAGGCGTGTATTTGCACCCTCTTTTGATTCATACTCTCCCCAAGCTTCAAACCAGTGATGTTTCTGTCCAGTTGCCGTCATGGCTGGTTGGCATCTACTGAATTCCTGCTAATCTCTTCACTCCTTAAGACCCTCTCTCCTTGCTAACAGCCATAATGAAGCTACACTTCCTTCTCCACCACTGCTGCCTCTCTGCTCTTCCTGGCCATGGCTCCCTCCTTTCACAGCCCTGTGGCCTAGTTTGGGGCCAAGCTCCAGGGCTGAGCTCAGGGGTGGATCTATGACCCCAGGCATAGGAAGGACAAATGGGGACAACCTTGGAGGCACTGCCCAGCCTTTTGGGATTGAATCAGACATACGCCTTGGACTCTAAGGGCTGCAGGACCAATGAGCTGGTAGTTTGGGGCTAGTTCTTGCCCTCGTTTTGGTGGTGGTGGGGGGGGGTTGACTGTAATATATTCAAATAACAATGGAATGAGTATTGCAGTTATTATATGTGGTTTTGCTTGGCTTGTAAACTGAGTCATAAAGTACTGGGCCCATAACACATATAATCCTGCTTCTACTTTAGCTGGAGAAAATTCATCGGTGCACACTGATTTGCTGTGTCATCTGCACCCGGCTTTTCAGAGGGCTCCCATGGGTGCTATCTGTGTGAGGGAAGTGCTGGATGTCTGTGGAGGGGAGTATGGGGGTGTTAATCACTGCAGCTCCAGGAATCACGGCCATTCGTGCTATCACTGCTCTGCCCGCTCCACTACCAGGTTCTGGGCCCCTGGGGTGGCCGCACTAGATTAGGGTTGGGCATTCATGGCTTCACCTACTAGGCTGCACAGCCCTGGAATGGGTGGGTTGAGTTGGGCCCCAGGGACCCCAGACCTCTGCTGTTAGGGTGTGTGTTATATTTGGGGGTATTGTATATGCCAAAATATGGTAGAGGTAGAATAGCTCCAGAGCCCCCTAGATCTCAGCTACTTCTCCACACTCTGGGGTAACTTTTAATGGCCTTCTTGGGGGTGTTGTCAAACTGGGGTGTATTTTATATCTGGGGTGTTGTATATGTTGAAATATGGTAGCAGAGGTGGACTAGGTTCAGGGAAAGGCAACCCAGAGCCCCCCAAACTTCAGCTCCTTCCCCTCCCTCCAGGGTAAGTTTCATTTCCTTCAGGGAGGGGGGGGGTGTTGCAGACCTGGGGTGTGTGTTATATCTGGGGGTGCTATATATTCTGGAAGATGGTAGCAGAGGTGGAATAGGTGCAGAGATGGGCAGCCGACTGGAGGAGGGGCCTCGAGTCAAGGCCACTTCAGGAGAGGCTCCAGTGGCTGGGACTCTGCCCCAGGGGATTGTGGGGGAGAGGAGAAAGGGTCATAAACCCTGCAGGACATGGCCCAGGGCACAGAAGGCCCTTGTTAACTGGGGAGGGGGTGGGGCTATGGAAATGAGCCTGGGAAGGAAGAAGAGACAGGCCTTATTTTATGGCCAGAGATCACCCATGGGTGAGATTCGCGGGCATGGAGGGTGGTAGGGGTGCAGGCATCCATGGGGCAGAGATCTACCATATTTACCTGCATTCAACATCCCCTGAATATAAGCTGCCCCCAAGGCGTCGATTCTAGATATGGGAAATGGACATTCATAAATGTTAGGGTCAGAAGGGACCTCAGTAGGTCATGGAGTCTGACCCCCTGCCCTGGGCAGGAAAGAGCACTGGAGTCAGATGACCCCAGCTCAATGCTTGTCCAGTCTCCTTTTGAAGACCCCTCAAGGTAGGGGAGAGCACCACCTCCCTTGGAAGCCCGTTCCAGATTCTGACACTTCTTACTGTGAAGAAGTTCTTTCTAATGTCCAACCTAAATCTGCTCTTTGTCAGTTTGTGGCCATTGTTCCTAGTTACTCCTGGGGGTGCCCTAGTAAATAGAGCATCTCCTGTTCCCTGCAGCTGTCCTCTGATGAATTTATAGGCAACCACAAGATCACCTTTCAGCCTGCTCTTGCGAAGGCTGAAGAGAGCCAGGTCCCTTGGTCTCTCCTCATAGGGCCTTCCCTGCAGGCCTCTGACCATACAAGTTGCCTCCTTTAAACCCTCTCAAGATTCTCTGCATCCCTCTTGAAGTGCGGCGCCCAGAACTAGATGCAGTACTCCAACTGCAGCCTGACCAATGCTGCATAGAGGGGAAGCATCACCTCCCTGAACCTGTTCGTCATGCATCTGCTAATGTATGATAAAGTGCGGTTAGCCTTGTTGATCACTTCATCACATTGACGACTCATGTTCATCTTGGAGTCAACTATGACTCCAAGATCCCTTTCCGCTGCTGTGCTGCTGAGAAGGTCGTCCCTCAGCCTGTACATGTGTTGGTGGTTCTTTTTGCCCAGGTGTAGCACTTTGCACTTGTCTTTGTTGAACTGCATCCTATTTTGTTCTGCCCATTTTTCCAACCTGTCCAGATCTGCCTGGATCTGTTCCCTATCCTCTGGTGTGTTGACTTTGCCCCATAATTTGGTATCATCTGTGTACTTGGACAGGGTGCTCTCCAGGCCCTTGTCCAAGTCACTGATGAAGACACTGAATAGCACTGGTCCAAGGACCGAGCCTTGCGGGACTCCACTGGCCACATCTTTCCAGGTCGATATCGCCCCATCCACTAAGCCAATTTGACTCCCACCTGACTGTGTAATCATCTACATCATAGCTTGTCAGTTTATTTATGAGAACAGAATGAGATACCGTATCGAAGGCCTTCTTAAAGTTTAGGTAGATGACATCTACCTCGACTCCTGTGTCTAAGCATTTTGTGACCTGTTCATAAAAAGAAACAAGGTTAGTCAGGCAGGATCTACCTGCAATGAATCCATGCTGATTTCCTTTCAGCATTATTTCCCCTGCTGGGCTCCCACAAATGTGATCCTTAATGACTTTTTCCAGAGTTTTCCCAAGGATAGAAGTAAGACTAACTGGCCTATAGTTTCCTGGTTCCTCCCTCCTCTCCTTCTTGAAAATAGGGACCACACTGGCCCTTTTTCAGTCTTCTGGGACCTGACCGGAGCACCACGAGTGCTCGAACAGCCGTGCCAGTGGTTCTGCTATGACACTGGCCAATTCCTTCAGCACCCTTGGATGAAGATCATCTAGG